GAAATCTACCATTCCCCTGGTTAAGATTAAGTTTTTTTAGTAAAATAGAAAGAACTTCGACTTCTGGCTCGAGGGGGTTAACTACAGATTAACTCCTTATTTCTCCACTGTTTAGGAAGTGAAACAATGCCTTACATCGTCAGCTAAGCCTTACTATTAAAAAGCATACGTCAGCAAAATTTAATTATTTTGTATTTTCATCATTCTCCCTCGAAGTTTGTTAAAGTAAATTGAAAATGGAGAAGAAGAGTGAAAATGGAAAGTCGTTGATTATTTATGAAAAATGATGAAAGATGAGTGAAACGAATGAATTGATTTCAAAAACATGCATGCTCATTTTATTAGAATTACTGATCCAAAGATACAAATTTACACCAAATGAAACTTAGCAACTAGGAAATTACAATTTGTAACTGATAATGTCTAATGATTGTATCGAAGAGATTTTTAGTTTGATCCACTTGACTTTAGGAGAGCTTCTGGATGTTCTTGGATTTGTCAAAGCATGGGGGTGACCCTTGACTTTTCTCTGGCATACCTATTTCGTGAGGGCATTTCTCTTGTTGATATCGTTGATTTTGAATCACCAATGATGGCGTTGTGTAGGCCTGTATAGTGAAGGGTTGCCTTCTCTTTTTAATTGGACTTGTAGGACCAAGCTCAATTGATTCTCCAATGTTTTAGTATCCTACTTCCACAGTTTTAGACTTTCTTAAGCTCGTTTGCGAGTACCAAGAAATCAGCGAGCATATGGATAAAGGTTGGATAAGGGCGAAGGTGAAATGCATGAGGTGCAAATGTATGGATGTATGTAAATACATGGGTATGCAAAAAAAATATTTTTTTAGGGTATGCTAAAAATTTCATGGATATGCAATACGACACAGACGTAGTATGAGGGTAGACGTAGGGATACCTTGTACAAGTTTAATGGTTGATATGGAAATGATGATGTCCTACACTGACTCAGAGATTGAGATAGGCAAGAACTCCTTAAGGATGAAGATAATGATAGACATGGAAATGAGGATACCTCATTCTGACTCAGAGATTGAGACAAATAGGCACTCCTTAGGTATTAAAGACCATAGAAGACGAAGAGGAATCCCTACAATCTAGGGATTGTTACTAAGGGACGAGAATTCCTATAGGCTAGGAATTATGATAGACCAATGGGCGGTTGAGGAATCCCTACAAGCCAAGGGTTATGACTTACGAAAGATAAACCCTACATACTAGGGATTGTAGTATACCAAAAGTAACCCTTGCGGGTTTAGGGATAGCGGAAATCGGATTATATGAATGGTATCTTTAGAAGGTAGGCTCCTAGTTTTGGCCTACGGATATTCTACCCTCCCCATAAGGTGGTTTCCTTAAGGGTATCATGAATGACACTAGAGGGAAAGGCACAAGGGCCTCCCTAAAACGGAGCCTCTTTACAGACCGAAACTTTCGTCTCTAGGTCATGAAAGATATCATCACGAGATTTTGGTTTAAAGTTCATACAAAGAGTCATAGAAAAATAAAAGAACATCTCGCTAAGACGAAAACCCGAAAGGGTGGCTTAGGTAAAAAGGAGCGTCTCGGTAGGATGAAAACCCGAAAGAGAGTTCTAGGCAAAAATTAGAGGCATAAACAGAATAAAATTTTCCCGGTAGGTTGAAACACGCAAGGGCAACCTAGGAAAAAGTTAGGGATTTCTTGGCAAGTAACTGCATCAGACAAGACTTGATCATTAAAAGCAACAATCTTCTTGGATCCTCGCCACTCTTCAACCGAAGCCTCTTCTCAGGAATTCAAAGTTGTTAGGGATAATAGTGGTCATTGTATCTCAATGTATCTTTTCCAATGAATATTACCATTTCCCAAACTTTGTAATCGTCTATGGAGTTTCGCCATTCGCAGACTACCATCCTATTAATAAAATTTGAGCTTTTATCCAATTCCTTGCAATTCTTACTTTATTCAGCTTACAAAGACTTTATTTATTATTGATAGTAATGATCAAAGCAAACAGATTAAATAGAAAAATTATTTTTAAAAAAAGATTTACAAATTACTTATTGCTTTAGATCTTGTGACACAAAGAGAACAAAAACAGTGACCCCAGGGACGGATAAACCCAAAAGTTTTGAAAGTTTGTACTTCCCCAGGAAGTTTCTCCCAAGGAACTTTTGTTGGATTGAGTATGATCTTCACGTTTTTTCTCAGATAATTGAAGATGATACCAATTGCTGTATGGTGCGGTGATGGGTTTGTGATCCCGTTCTCCCTAGCAAGGCAACCAGACAAGGGCAATGTCTTTTCTAAGAAATGTTGAAATGTTTTTCAACTTTTTGAGTTTTCTCTCGCCAAAGTGCTGGGTTTGATTTAAAATCCCCATAAGTTTGATTTCTTGTTGTAATGTATGACTTCTTAAAATCTATGGATAGGACTATCCCCGTGGAAGTTTCATAGTTCCTCCCTAGAGAAGTCGGTGCAATCCTCGCTCTCAGTATTGAAGAATGTATCTTGGCTTCCCCTCGATAATGTGTTGCCCTCCCCATTAAAGCATGTGTAGTACTCCCCGGTGAAGCCCGGAGGAGGATGTTATATCACGATATTTGTGTTGATTTTCTGTTTTGATTTTGTTCCTTCCCAGTGAAGTTAAGCCCGGAGGAGGATATTATATCACGATATTTGTGTTAATTTTTTGTTTTGATTTTGTTCCTTCCCAGTGAAGTTAATCCGTGAAATAGGAATTTGTTTCCTCAGTTGGTGCTTAATTTCTCATGGAATTTTCATCCTGGATGGTATTTAGTCGAGTATTGACTATACCCAATTGGTTTTGTCTTGTTATCCCTAGTGATATATGTCTGTTTTGTCAACATATACAATATGGAATTCATATACTCATACATACATCAAGCATAGATGAATTTAGATATTCATTTCTCATTTGCATTTTTTATTGTTGGTGTGATACGGTGGGAGAATTGACTTGATGTTTTGTGTTTTGATTGCATTTGTGCGGATAGCAAGAGTTTCCACCGACTTTTTTTTATCCAAAAGGAAAGGTAAAAAAGCATAGGAAAGACCTTTCGAGATTATTTCTCATGTTCGGGGTAGATTATGAAAAGGGAAGGTATTAGCACCCTTTTCATCCATGGTTTTCCATGGGCTCTTAGTTACTCGTTTAGATCACTTGCTTTTATTTGACAGTGTGCTCATGGTGTGGGCTTTGAAAGTATTTTGAAAATGTCTTTGTAATGGTTCTCGTTTCTATAAGAACGCGTACAAAATTTTGTTTCAAAAAGTGGTTCAAAGATTAGTTTGTGGAACATGTTTTCGAAAGTGTTTTGAAAAAAAGATGTTTTGCAATGGTTCTCGTCTCTATAAGAACGTATGCAAAACATTTTATCTTTTGAAAATGTTTTGAGATGAAAGTGTGGGTGTAAAAATGTTTTTATCGTGAGAAAACGAGTAAGTAGGAGCGAATGTATCTACTTGAAAGGTTTTCAATTGTTCTTTTCTTCCTCCTTTTAATGTTGTTTTCTTACCGTTGATTTGGTAAGAAGCCCCATCGTTGGATGTGAAGGGACAGACGCGGGTCAATTTTACAGTCATCGAAAGCAACTTATGAGACGTTTTAGCAATTTCGTAAGGGACGAGATCGTTTTATCAAAGGCAACGTCGAGGGTCATCGAGGGACTACGATCATTTTATCGAAGGGTCATTGCAAAAACGTCCCATGTTCGAGGGACATGCCTGTGTTTCCGAGGCAACAAGCGAGATTACCCTAGAGGTGCGTGTGTGAAAGGTGTGTTTGATTCAAGTTATTTTGTTGAAATTAGGTTATCTAACGATTGATTTTATGTCTTTCCATGTATTAAGATGTGGTTGGGCCTAATTCAACCCTACAAAACCGGCTTGTAGGGTGAGGATTACCCCCACTTATAAACACATGTTCAGGCCATATATTGTCCGATGTGGGACTCTTAACACACCCCCTCACGCCCAGGACTAGACAACTGGAGCGTGGAAATAAATGGTGGATGGCCCACTGGATCTTAAACGAGGCTCTGATACCATATTAAATTAGGAGAGACTAAGAGACATTTAGGTTAAACCGTGTGTTATGAAAGCACTACGGAGACTTTATTATATATAGAGAGATTACAACTAATTACACTATATAATCGATGTGGGACTATTCTACATACAAATATCAACACCATGCACGCCTAATTACTATACAGTATAAGGAAAACAGTAAATTGCGGGAATTGAAATTCTACGCTATTACAGAGTTTTCGGGAATGGGGGTACAAATTTAAAAATGGGGATGGATCGATGCGATTAAAAGTCTAAATAGGCAATCAATACAACCAAATCGAATCGAACAAATTAATTAAAACTACAATAGTCTATGAAGCAAAAATTAATTAACAAAGTATAAAAAATAAAAAAAAACTTGATATTTTTGTTTGTGAGAATTTTGAGGGGAAAATCACAACCTATTCTAAAAAAGAAATAAATTAATTACAAAGAAATTAAATCAAAGGTATATATATCTTTTGATATTTTATTTTATTTCTTTTTTATCTTTTTTTTTTTGGTTTTTGGTATCTAAGAGCTAAGACTAAATGCAAAGAAAATAAATAATGTGATTATTTGGGCCTAAGTAAACCTAATGACCCATCATAATTTTCATAGAAAACAAATAGAACAAAAAAATATTAATAGTATGACAAACAAAAATAAATGAAAGGGCTTTAGGGATGTAACTTACTTGAAACTCATAACAACCTTCTCTCTCTACTTTTACAATTAACAAATGCAGACAACCTTGCAACCCTCTTCTCCAAAACGTGTTTCCCCTGTAAATTAAAGATTCCATGTTCTTTGCAAATTGCAGCGAGTTTTATGGCTGTGGAGTTGGAGACTTAACTGTAGTTGTCGGGGTGACATCAGAGTTGATGAACTGAAGAACGGTACCTAGGTATAGTTTGATCGAAGTTTCAACGGTGATGCATTAGATAAAAAGAACGTCTGAATCGGAGAAAGGAAGGAGAAGAAAATGAAGATGAAATGGAAGGCGTCGAAGCCGAAACGACGGAAACGGAAAAAGATGATGAAGACGTCAAAGGAAGAAGTGAGCGACGACTTACTTCACGGGTTTCAAACCGGTGTCTAGGGATCAAGATCTCGCGGTGGCGCAAGCAGGAGCTCCAACGAGAATTTATGAATTTCAGTAAGTTTAAACTATTCCTCTTCTTCTCTTCTCTCTGTTTAGACTTAGGTTTGAGATTGATATTGGACTGTGAATTGCCAACTGATCCCGCCTCGTTCGATTAATTCTCATCTTTCTTTAAATTTTGGAACTGACCTCCGCTTCCTCTTTCTCTTTTTAGTGTGCGTAGGTGTTGCGATTAGTACAAGTATGGCTTGCGATTCCTTGTGACTTCACTTTTTGATTCAGCTTTAGCAACGAGACTGCCTGCATCTTAGCATACCATGATGTTGTTTTGCATTGACAAACACGAACTCCTCAACTGCATCAGTTGGCAAAGGAATAACAACATGCTGAATTCCTATTTTGTAGATACAGGTTACTTCTGTGATTATTTTTTCAATAAAAACTTTTCTTTTAGTTTCCTCTGTGGTTTGTTGGTTCTTATTCTGGTGTATTTTTTATGGTGTTGGTGATGTTATGCTGAGATTTTTTATGGGAGAAAGTTGGGTTACAGCAAGTATGTATATTAGTAATGGAGGAGTTAAAATGGGGGTGGGTATAAGCTGCCAATTAGACCGTTTTCAGTTTTGATGTATGTATGGATGTTAAAGATGTGGTAGTGATTGAAGGTTTAAGGAGAAGTTATGGTGGATAGGTTTATGGATTTGAAAGAAGATGTCAGGATTAGAGTGAGGGAAACAGAGTGTTGTTTGAAAGAGGGTGGCTGAATAATTTTCGAGTCCTCTCTCTGTCTTTTTTGTCTCTTTTTTATAGCTGAAAGTATATGGAATTTGGTGGGAAATATTAGTGAATTTGAACAATTGTGGCATACTATTCTAACGCTTTTTGTTGCAGTTTTGGTTTTGCCATTTTTTATGCAAATTATGGACAGATTTAGACAGGTTTGGGCAGGGGCAGCAGGGCTGTTTATGCAGCAAGTTTGGACTGGCTTTCTTGGCTTATTATGCAGGTTTTTGGCTTTGTATGCTTGGGTGATATTTTCCTAACTTGTCCCTATCTTCTTTCCTCCTTCCACTTTCTATGAAACAAAAGCAGCTTTTGCTTATTTCTTTAACTTTCTGAAGGATTTGCATTTTCGAAAAATGATGACAGGGTGCATACCATGAGATAGCATTGATATGCTATTGTTGCTACATTTTTTTCCTTTGTATTTTTTAGCAGCCTATGCTGCTGCTACCTTTGCTTGTTTCTACTTTTGTTTATGCTGCTGTTTGTCCTTGTTGTATTGTGCGCTTGGCAGCTTTTGGACTGGGCAGCCTTAGGCAATTTTTTTTCTTTTTTGTGAACCAAGGCCCAAACCTTGTGTTTTGCAAAAAATAGGAGAAGATTGGATCATGATAAAAAATAAACCCTTTTAAACTGATTCCAAATGCAAATCCTCATGATGAGAAGTTTTCTTGAAAAATTTGATTTTATGCATAAATTCTCATGTTGCTAACACTTTTTTTTTCATGTGATGAATGTTGAATTGGAGATGAAGAAGACAAGGCAAGGTGGAAGATTGATGCTAGGTTCAAAGCAACATGAAGAATTGAAAATGAAAAAGACATGGTTGGAAACCAAATGAAGCATGGAAGATTTTAGAAGCAAGTTAGCATATGCTTAGGGAGGACTTTAGGTTTCTATGTACAAAAACTTGTGTAATTTTCTTGTAACTTGTAATATGAAGCTTGGAAAACATGAATTAAATTTGTAATTTGTAAACTTGAATTAAATTAAATGAATATGAAATCTTGAATGATTTTGTGAAGAGAACTTCGAATCAAAATGGATCTTAAACCCTTGATGTCTTGAATTTGCATCGTGAAATGATGAACTTTGAATGATTAATGCACATGAACATTTGAGCGCCTTGATTCTTGAATAAGCCTTCGAAATCATAATGGACTTGAGCTTTTTATCTTGGCTTCTAAGTAATTCAACCATATTATTTTCCATCCTTTAATCTTAAATCAAATCTCTGAATAAAGCGAATGTCTTATGAGTTTAAACATGTCCAACATCGATCCAATAATCATCATTGCTTCGACATCAATGATTCACAATGCTAGCATCAAAATGATTAATGAATTTTTGACCCAAACTTTCCATTTTAATGAATTATCCCGACATAAGAAATACCAAACCCTAGCTGCTGACTCAAAGCCTAGGAAGAGAAGCTGTCAGATCAAATCTTGTGCCAATTTGAGTGTTTGAGAAACCCTGGGATAGCATCTTGAGTGAAAAATGGGAGGGAAAATTTTAGAGTAAAACAGCTGCCCCTGTTCAACCTTTTTAAACTTGAAAAGTGAGATCGACGTGTTTGTCGTTCGTGGCTTGAAAGTGGAAGATGATTGAACACTAGAGTGCCCAGAAATTCGCAGTTGATTTTGCGCAGGTTGATTGTGTAGGGAATGGGCTTAAAGATGCCATTTTGAGAAATGATGGAGAGTTGTCAGAGATGGGCTTATAGATGCCATCCAAAGGTGATTGTTGACAGAAGTGGACGAAGTCTGAACTTTGACTTTAACAGAAAAGAAATCAGAATAAACCTTTGGTCGATTTAAACTGGAGCTAGCAGAAGTCTTGAATGTTTGTTAGAAAGAATCAGAATATCTTTTGGAGCGATTTTAAACTGAACCAAAAGATATCTTGGATTAATCTTGACTAGAAAGCATCAGAATAAATCTTGGTGCAATTTATCTGAACCAGAGAAAATTTTCGGTGGGGAAGAATCAGGATAAACCGTTGAGATATTTAAACTGAACCAGCAGGGGTCTGGATAGTGTGGTTATGAGAAACTGGGTAGTAAGGTTACTTCGAAATAAAGCCTGGATAGTAGGGCTATGATAAGGAACCTGAGTAGTAGGGTGACTTCGAAATGAAATCCTGGGTCGTAGGGCTATGAGAAGGAACCTGGGTCGTAGGGTTACTTCAAAAGGAAACCTGGTTCATAGGGTTACTTCGAAATGAAAGCCTGGGTCGTAGGGTTACTTCGAAATGAAAGCCTGGGTCGTAGGGATATGAGAAGGAACCTGGGTCATAGGGCTACTTCGAAATGAAAGCCTGGGTCGTAGGAATATGAGAAGGAACCTGGGTCATAGGGTTACTTCGTAATGAAAGCCTGGGTCATAGGGCTATGCGAAGGAACCTGAGTAGTAGGGTTACTTCAAAATTAAAGCCTGGATAGTAGGGCTATGAGAAGGAACCTGGGTCGTAGGGTTACTTCGAAATGAAAGCCTGGGTCGTAGGGCTATGAGAAGGAACCTGAGTAGTAAGGTTACTTCTAAATGAAAGCCTGGATAGTAAGGCTATGAGAAGGAACCTGGGTCGTAGGGTTACTTCGAAATGAAAGCCTGGATAGTAGGGCTACAAGAAGGAACCTGGGTCTTAGGGTTACTTCGAAATGAAAGCCTGGGTCGTAGGGCTATGAGAAGGAACCTGGGTCGTAGGGATACTTCGAAATGAAAGCCTGGGTCGTAGGGATATGAGAAGGAACCTGGGTCGTAGGGTTACTTCGTAATGAAAGCCTGGATAGTAGGGCTATGAGAAGGAACCTGGGTCGTAGGGTTACTTCGAAATGAAAGCCTGGGTCGTAGGGCTATGAGAAGGAACCTGGGTCGTAGGGCTACTTCGAAATGAAAGCCTGGGTCGTAGGGCTATGAGAAGGAACCTGGGTTGTAGGGTTACTTCATAATGAAAGCCTGGGTCGTAGGGCTATGAGAAGGAACCTGAGTAGTAGGGTTACTTCGAAATGAATGCCTGGATAGTAGGGCTATAAGAAGGAACCTGGGTCGTAGGGTTACTTCGAAATGAAAGCCTGGGTCATAGGGCTATGAGAAGGAAACTGAGTAGTAGGGTTACTTCGAAATGAAAGCCTAGATAGTAGGGCTATGAGAAGGAACCTGGGTCGTAGGGTTACTTCGAAATGAAATCCTGGATAGTAGGGCTATGAGAAGGAACCTGGGTCATTGGGGTTACTTTGAAATGAAATCCTGGGTCGTAGGGCTATGAGAAGGAACCTGGGTCGTAGGGTTACTTCAAAATGAAATCCTGGATAGTAGGGCTATAAGAAGGAACCTGGATCGTAGGGTTACTTCGAAATGAAAGCCTGGATAGTAGGGCTATGAGAAGGAACTTGGGTCGTATGGTTACTTCGAAATGAAAGCCCGGGTCATAGGGCTTTGAGAAGGAACTTGGGTCGTAGGGTTACTTCGAAATGAAAGCCTGGGTCGGATTTTTCAAGATAAATCCGTGTGAAGTTGTATTTGGTCGCGCAAAAGATTACTCTGTTTAGTTTCAGGAGTCAATCTTGGAACCGAGTATGGGAAAATAAATCTATGACTGCTTCTGGAGAGTATTGGAAATAACATTCCTGACTGTTTGTAGAAAACCGTGTTTCTTCTACTTCCGCTGGGGAGAGACTCTGCTTGAGAATAATTATGCGGGGAAGAATCAGGATAAATCACTGAGAGATTTAAACTGAACCGACAGGAGTCTGGAGGAAATATTTGTTATGTAGATGGTTAACCAGTCCTTTCTCGGGAATTGATCTGTAATTGCTTTGTCCACAAATAGTTATCTTGTTGGAAATTTGATGATAATTTTCCGTTGATTGATTTTTTCCGAAAAAATGAAGAGTTAGTCGTATGCGATGCCATGATGTTTGAAATGCATGACATGAGATTACGCTATATGCATTTGTGTTATCAATGCCATGACGTATGAATGTAATGTATGAACATATTAATTGTTCAGCTGCAATGTTGTTGGACTCAGGGAAAATAAATCCCCGAGTACTGCTAGGAATGAGGAGTGTAAGTCTTCATATTTTGTTGAAGTTAAAGCATGGATGGATGAGTTTCCATTATTAGAGAAATAAACTCTAACGGGGAAGGGAAACGTCGTGCATTGCTTGTGGACTTTGTGAAATCCTGATAAGTTGGGAGACTTTCACTGGGGAATCTATGGAATGGTAACTAGAATTTTGCTTCGTCGGGGATGTGAGAGCACCTGAT